ACACCCACACCCACACCCACACACCCACACCCACACACCCATCACCCACAGCCTAGTTCATTGGAATTACTATATTATATTTCGCCGAATATGTGCTTCGAGTTCTGCTTTTTTTCTTTTCGTTTGCTATCTCTAATTATGCATTGTGTATACGTTTTCTTTTTCTCAGATACGTGGCCTACGGAAGGGGGCATCCTTCACTATTGGAGTCTTATTTGTTTCTAGTAGAAATCGCATTTTTATCAGGAAAATAGCCGTAAAAAGAAATAAGAAAAATTCACATTTTCGCAGTGTTTCAGGTTCTATAACCATCTTTTCGGCACTCAAACCATTTCCCTGCATCACACTTCCTTCCCCTCTCTGCTACTTTTCCTCTTCTTCATATCCCTGCTCTTCGCACATATGAAACCACCATATTATAGATAAACGAATAAAAGCGTTTACAAGAAAACTTTGGTAAATCGACTAAAATGCTAAAATAAGGGAATACAAGATTTAATGCAGCTACCCACGGTCGTGAACTGTATGATATAAATACCGCCGAAGTACTGGTGATAATTACTAATGATAAAATAGCTTCTTTCAAAAACTAATTAATTCGAAATAATCGATTCTTAAAGTGATTATACAAGAGAAAAATGGGCAGAAAAAAAATTTGAGTACCATCTTTCTTTTTATAGAAAATATTCAACAAGTATTTTCATAAAATTTTTAAGAAACGTTGAGTATAACAAAATAAAACATCAAAATGACGTATATGTGGTCCTGTAGAGATAAATCTTGAAAAATCAGGACAAAAGCAGGTTTTTCAGTCAAAAGCAGGAAATCAGGACACTTTTAAAAACTCAGGAAAAACTCAGGAAAGTACACACGCTGCGAGGCCTGAAATAAAAATCTGAATAAAACAAGATGCTTATTGTTGACTTACAGTTTTATGATAATCAACTTGAACAGTCGTCATTTGATAAATAACAATCAAGTGAAATATCTAAAAATAAATATCATGGAAAAAGTAGTGGATCCGATTTTTTTGCTTATTTTATTCTGCAAGAATTCGACAAATTTAAATAAAAAAATGTGAAAAGAGACAAGATCATGAGTGTCATTTATTAAATATCGATGATGAATTAAAATAAGAATTCTAATCACTTGTACAATATTATATTTGACATCAAAAAACCAAATTCATGCTTCCGACTTATTCTAATGAAAAAGTAAGATTTTTGAAATTTGATTTTCATTTATCGTTGAAAAAAAAAGTCTAATAGGATATTAATAAGAAAAACCTAATAAATGTAAACTTTAGAGAAAGTTTTTTTACTTCTATCTCATCTAAAATCTAAAGAAAGTTTTGAAATTACTTTGATTCAACATTGAGCAAATATTCAACATATAAACTACTACTAATTCTTTCTAAACATGTGACAATTTTTGATCAAAGAATAGAATTGATTTTGATCTTTGACTACTTTTAGAAAGACTTTCTCTCACTAAACATCTCATTTTATTGCACACACTAATTCATAATTGCTCCAGTTCTAATCATATCCGTCAATTCCACAAAATGTTGATATAAAACTGTCGGCAACATAGTCCTGCAATAAAGTGATGCAGTTCTAAATAAAACAAAGAACGCGTTCATAGAAGTGGGAGCTGTCACGCGTTGTCTAATTCTTTCTCACTAAGATTTTTTTTACGAAAACAATTCTATCTAAGAGAAAAAGAACAATTAAACTAAGGATAAATTAAAACGAAGAAAAGTTTAATTTTGAATGAATAATATATTCAAATAAAAGAATCAAATAACTGAAAAAGGTTGAGAACAATATTGTTATGTTATATGTTAGAATTTTATAAAAGATATTCGTTTCTTTGACCAAATGCTATGCCCTTCACTCTAATCTTGAGGGTGCGGGTGTGGGTGTGGGTGTGAGCGATCTGGCCACTTAGATGAATATCCACACCCACGCCCACAGCCCACGCCCACACCCCCATGCATACCCCACACCCACCCACACCCACCCACACCCACACCCACATCCACATCCACACCCCACACACACCTACACCCACACACGCACCTCACACCTACACCCACACCCATCCACACCCATCCAAACCCACACCCCACACCCACATCCATCCACACCAACACCCACGCCCACAACGCACACCCACACCCACACCCACCCCACACCCTAAGACTGTGGGTGTGAACTAAGAGAACGAGTACAACCACAGTTGGCCACGCCCACACCCACACCGCATCCTGATACACTCTTCTTGACTTAAGTCTTCAATCGCAGTTTAAGTACTTTTGCCTAAAATGAATCCCCCAGGCTTCCAATGAGGATTCTACAGTAATCGCACTTTTTTCGAGAATTTTTCAAGGGAGTGTCGACTAGGGAGATGGTTATTATCTCATGACAAGATGATATATATTTGCAACTATTTTATTATAAGATGAAACAATTTTCATGATATGTTTGAAAAACTTTGATTAAATAACGATAATTTTAAGTGATAAAAATAGACTGTTGCAATAAATTATGTTACCATTTATTGCTTTTCGTTAACAGAAACTACATACTTCAGTGTCAGCAGAAGAACAATAAAATATTCTTTATCACTTTTTTTATTATTTGAAATCTCTCTACATGTTTTTATTTCTTACCTTTTGAATAGAATTGTACGTTTGAAGTTCTTATTTAAGATGAATAAAGTAATTGATATTGGTCAGCTGCAACCTGTTGTGATTACTAGACGATTATATGTACTTTTTGGATTACTAATTTTATTTACAGTCACTACAATCGCTCTAGCAGCAGCGATTTTAGGTGTTGTTATTAATCGCCTAGATTCAAAAAGTGGAAGTTT